GCAGCCGCAGCCACACCGAACCTGATGAGAACGAACTCGTTGAGTCTGTGCAGCAGCAGCAACGCGTACAATCCGCCGCCATTGCTACGAACGAACTCTCTGAGTCTGACCACGAGCCAGCACCATCACCACCACCATCACCACCATCATCATCACCAGACTGGTTCCACGACCGTCAGCTCGGTGATCGGCGCGACCAGACCGAAGCCGTTGAATCTCAGCCCGACCTTCTCTCTCGGCAGCACCGGAGACTCCATCTCGCCGTCCTCGAGCCTCAGTCAATCGCCGACCAACTCGATGGCCAGCTTCTTCAGCGACGATTGCAGCCAACAACCGTCCGTGACTAGTCTACCTACCACGCCGTTCAGCTTCGGCCAGGACTTCGGCCTCCTCGCGACGAGGCAGAGCCCGAGCCCACGGACAAACAACGTGTGCAGCCCTCTAGGCTCCGACGAACTCGCCCCGAGGACACCGTCCCCTTTGTCGCCCAACGCCGAGTCCAGATTGCCTGTCTTCAACAGGATCAGCAGCACCCTCTGCGACTTCGACAACCTGAAGATCTAAGCTCGCGGGCCTACTGTGCTCCTTCGACGTTTTTGGTATCGTATCGGTTCTCTTCGGGTCAGACACACAAAGACTCTCGAAGGACACGGAGGCTGAGACGTCGCAATCCCCCACAAACCCTTTGGGATTTTTTTTATCTTCCGAAAAGACAAGAGAACGTTAGGGAGAGGTGGACGGACTCTCCCACCGACTTGAAGAAAAAGGTTTCTTTTCTTTTTAAACACTTGAGCTGCATTTCTCCGCGCGGGACGGATTCTTTCCTCTTCCGTCGTACTCGGCTTCTTATTTAAGCATTTCTTTTCTGTTCGTAGTGCACTTTAGACAGAGACACAGACACACACACCTTACTTTCGTTCTTTAAACGATCGTCTCTTCCTTCTTTCTTTTTTTATTATAATCGTCATGATTATATATTATATTATTATATTATATATTATTATTAGATTATTATATTATATTATTGCTATAATTAATATTATTATTGACATTATCAGTAATATCATTATCGGATATCGAATATCGTCGTTACTCTTAAAACCGCATCGAGTGTCGTCAGTCGGTCTCGGACTTTCGACTACCCTTTTCTTCTTTCTTTTTCTTCACTCTAGATTTACGCTCGTTTAACGGTAAGGTCGAGATCGTATCATCCCGGATGTCCCGACCTGCTCGCGAGAGTCCCCGGATGGAGAAGGAGAGCAAAGCGAAAACGAAGGAGCATAATTGTAAAAGCGATCCGTAAGAACAAAGAGCCAGCGTGTGGAAGTCGCCGGATCGAGAAGGGGACGAGTCCAAGTCTCTTCCGAATTGTAACTTTCCTCGAGCGAGTTGTTCTTTGATCTCTCTTGGACTCGGACCGGATCCTCCTCTTCGTCCCGCGTCTTCAGCCTCCGCTGCCTCTCGTTCGCTCTCCTACGCCATCGGCG